CATCAATAAGTACCTTAGACACAGTCGCCCCCATCAACTCGCCCTTCACAAACAAAGCCTTAAGATCTTGTCTCTCGTCATCGGTAGGTTTCTCAAAAACAGCCATCATTGGATCTAGTGTCAATCGAGCTACTTGATCGAGAGAACAACTTCTTCCTCATTATCGAGATAGAGCCAAAAACTCCATCGGCAATATGAATACCATATTAACATCTGCCGATGGACCCTTATTTTGTGTTTTTACCCGCCACCGCCGATGACCGGACCTCTCATTGGAGGAATTTTCCTCTTGGTATAAATCCTCCGACGCGCTCACGTTGCATCCTCCTTCTCTCGCGTTTTGTCGACCCTCCGCACCATCGAGGAAACTTGGTTTTCCAAACCGGTGATAACAGTCCTAGTTGACTCTACACGGCGTATATTAGGGTCCTCAGAGAATATTTCCTCATCGGAAACTCTTGCATTTGCCATTTCCTCAAGCTCCTCTTGATTCCTTGGAAAATATCCAGCCAGCGTTTACCAAGCCTTTCATGTACACTAAGTTCGCCCCCGAATTGATCATGCATCGATGCTCTGCCTCCTGATCGGCTCATTGATAAATAAACCACGATTGCGAAAGTTGAAACCTCCTTTCGACCAATTGACCCCATAATAACCATTGCACTCGGGGCAATTTTCAACGATTAAGCAATTTAATACCTTCTTCCCAAAGAATGGATAAAAACGGGCACCTCCAATGATCTTTATGCCGATGCCATTCTTCCGAGACGTCTTTCTTCTTGCTTTGTTGTCGATATCGATCATTACTGGCGGCGCCAACCCTCCTGCTTGCCTTCGATGAGTAATCACAATGCCGGTCGAGGAGGTTTTTGGAACTCTTGCTTTCTCTCGGCAAAACCCTTACTTTTTGCATCATCGGTAGTTATCCGATGTTGGGGATCCACTGATGCGTTTTTCTCAACAACCTCTGACGTCAATACCTTGGTCTTCCCTTTGGCCTCCAACGTATTTGCTGGAAAATGGTGTTGATCAATTTTCATCGGCCTCGGGCATTGGAAGTACCAAACTTAATTCTCCCAGATTCAATAGCCGATTATAATCAAGTTCTGAACACCTTGCACTCATTTGTACTGTGTGAAGTTGCATTGTGCCATTTACGCACAAGATCTTCTTCAACTCTTCCGCCGATGGGATCACATGATTAGGTGACGACTTAATTTGGCCCCCTTGAAGCGAAGATCAAATATCTTGTCGGCCTTGGTGATATCAAAGGTAAACTTTTACGGCTCTTTTCGACCAAAGGGACAAGATATCGGCCTTTTATTCTTAACCCACTCAAATAAGCCGATAACCGGTTCTTCATCGAATCGAATCTCCTACTTCTTCAACAAATGATACTTTTTATTCCAATTCTTTTTAGGTTCAAAAACCCTAGTGTCTTGATCGAAATCCTTTGCACAAGATGACTAAGACTTTCAAACTCCCGAGAAGCATATCTGTCTTTAAGATGTGGCAATAACCCTTGAAAGCCGGATCGGCAAAGTCGCCGATCATCCAAAGACTCAGATCAGAGCACTTATTCTTTACATCTCTTAGCCTTTGCACAAAGCTTTCTACCGATTCATCATTACGTTGTCTCAATTTTACCAAATCGGTAAGCTTCTTTTCATGGATTCCAGCAAAGAAATACTTATGAAATTGTTTTTCTAGATCAGCCCAAGTAATAATAGAATTTGGTGGTAATGAAATGAACCATGTAAATGCCGATCCAGACAAAGATGATGAAAATAATCGAACTCTTAATTCATCTCTGCTAGCTGCCTCTCCACATTGAATAATGAAGCGATTGACGTGTTCCATTGTTGATGTATCATCTTGCCCAGAGAATTTAGTGAAATCTGGTACCTTGTACCGATTTGGGAGAGGAATTAAATCATATGCATGAGGGTATGGAGTCCGATAAGAATAAGTATTGACCTTGGGCTTTATCCCAAACTGATCTTTCATAATTTCTGCTATCTTATCGGCCCAAAAAGCATCACCCTCCTGGCGATTTAACCGGCTGAATTTCTACAGAGGTACCTGCTTGATATCCTTCCACATATCTTTGTGGCCCATGATCTCCAAAATCGGCATATTTGCCGTTACTTGTGGTCCATTAACTTGTTGGAAAGGATTCATCAATGAAATTGCCGATGCTTGATTCTGAAAACCAACTTGCATATGACCTTGTTGAATCCTCGCAACTTTCTTGATTTTGCTTTGATCGTATCTTTGAAAGCAGTAATCGTCACGACCAACCATTATTAGAACTCATCGGTACAAAACTTACCGATGGCTGGTAATTTGGTCGACATTGTTGGATAATTATAACCAGCTTGAGGCATAAAAGCTGAACCCCGTTTGACTCATAACGAGGGCTTTTTGTATCATGTCGGCGATAAGCTTGCCGATGGATTTGAATCGGGCGTTTGAACCAAAGGCATCTGAAACCCCACGAGTTGGTTGCACAATGAGTTGCTTGTGGCATATTGAGGCACTTGGGCCATCGGTAAAAACAATCGATGGTATAGGAGCTTTTCCTCTTGCTTCAAACACTTGAGGTAATCCGAGATTGAAAGCGAGATGACTCGGAGGCATACCATATCCCCACCAATTAGCAAGAATCGGCTATTATGAGACACGGACTGACATAGGCGATGCCGATAGATCTGTATTAAGCTGAATTCATCCTCCCGGTAGTACCGGATCCGATCGATATCGGTGTAGATTGAATATTAGGTAAACCTCGCCGACTTCGAGAAGAAGTAACCACAGTACCCTAACGGCCGAGGGAGCCGATGGAGTATTGACGGATGCTGGGCTCTGGTTGGTGATAGGTAGGCCCAACATAATGCGGTGGCGCTTGTCCTTCTTTGAGAGTTCGAACCACGACATTATGAGCGAGATAGACAAAGACATTGGAATGATTAATCAAAGCATGATTTATTGCGTAATTAACCATCTCTTGAAGTTTACGAGATTGGAGTCAAAGGTAACTTTGCCGAGGCAACGGCAAATCTTGCTTCGGATGACTTGTCCACTCTTGTTCAAAGCTAAACGATTTCGAATAAAGTCGCCTTTATTCTTCTCTGACCTTTTCCATAGCCTGCCTCTGCTCTTCCTTAAGATCTTCTTCTGATACCGCGATAATGTTCCCCGCATCGATCTCGGAATTGAACATATTGATCGGATTGATTGGTCCCACCGGCATGCCAAAAAGATGTGTTGATACAAAAGTGGATCTGCAAACACACAAGGGCTAATACCGAATCGATATCCAAAGCGTGCGGTCGATTTGACTGTTAATCGACAAGGATGAAGATATCGAGCACTTTGGTCCTGACAACAGCGATACGCCCGGAAGTCACGGCCAAGAGGTACTCACGCGGAACTCGAGAATCGCCAAGGTCGCACTGAGACAATGCAACTCGCCGAATCAATGAGAACTCGTAAAAAGAAAAATATGCAAATTGACGAAGTCATCGAAAAGTAAGTAGATGTAAATAGGAGTAAAACTTGGTTTTGATATTGATTGATATATTAATTACATTGCCCCTCACTCCATATTTATACCCTGATCTAAAGAGACACAACCAAACACAACTAGAACACCAAGCCCATATCTAAGGAAACACGTGACTCTTATATGAATCATACTCTAACAAATATAGAAAAGGAAATCAACTCCTATCTATTTCCCTGTCCGCCTCAATTACGATGGAAATCTCACCGTCCTCCTTCCCATCGGCATACTCCCTGTTTCATCGGCAGTAGTCTTCAAGTCTTCCTTCATCGGCATACTCCCTGTTTCATCGACAGTAGTCTTCAAGCCTCCCTTCATCGGCATCGACAATAACACCTCCAACCTCATTGGCAACGCCCGAGTCTAAATCAACCTTTCCATCGACCACCACCAGCTATCGGCAACCATCTTTACAAGCTGGCTTTCATCGGCTATCAGAGTATACAGTAACTTTCCCTTTGCCGATTAGTCCACTCCGATCATTTTGACACGTGCAAAAAACGGTGTCAACAGCTCCTAACGGCACTTTGACACGCGGGTCCTCCCTCGCGCCACGTCGATCTCACACGGAGTATCCATTGGGCCGGGCCAATTTAAACATCATGAGTCATTACTCCTCTTGCAGCCCAGCCAGCCCAACCCATCCAAGTGGCCCACCTCGCGCCCCCAAAGCCCGGAGGACCCACCTGCCAGGGCCGTGTGGCTGGATGAACAGCTCGCTCTCGCGCTGGTGTGCCGAAACCATTCCAAAACACGAACTCAAAAAAAAGGCAAAACATCGTTTAATTTAAAAGTTGATCAATTTTAGGCAGCCTTTGCATGCAAAACATGCCATTAATAGGTATATATAAGATACGCGTAGGAGGCTGCTGTTGCGCTCCGCCTTCGTCGCCTCCTGTTGTTTGTGGTTGTGGCCAATCCTTCCCCTCTCCTCTCATCCCGGGCCCCGGGGAAAATTTTGCCCCAGAAACTCTAGCGCGTCGGATCACAAGCAAGGGCAAAATTTTCTGTGACTCCGGCTGAAGGACGCTGCGACACCCAAAATTATGTCGGTGAGTGCAAATCTCCTCCGCCTTACAATCGATCACATCGTTGCTGCCTTTTTCTTCTTCTTTTTTATAATGTCTGCATTATTCGTCTATCTTGGCTTGAAATTAAAGATTGTTCGCATGATGAAAACATGCTTGTCACATTGGATTGGCATGAAATTTTCTTTTACAAAATCGGCACCTAAATGCAGGGATGAATATCTAGATACCAATTACGATGATAAGGATCCATAAGTTTGGCAAAATGGATAACTGATGACTACTAACAACGCCTGTTCATTCAAATTGGCAAGCATGTCATGATCAACAAACTGTGGTTCCTGATCCCTCACTTTTAAATTGTTGAGCGATCGATCCCATTGACAAATCATGTATACGGATGTGAAATGGATGTTCACATCGAGGTGAAGGTGTGACCATCTGCTATCTGGCTGGTTTTCTACAAATTTAGCATTGAACAATGGTTCCCCCGGGGCAAGGCAGGCAATGACGAATTTGACGTTCTAATCAGGAGGAAACGAAGTAGCATTATCCATTCACATTAGTAATAGCATATAGCTGTTGTGCTGATCAGGTGGCGAAGGACGACGCTGGCCGCACTATACCCAAGTTCGGCGAATGGGACGTCAACAACCCGGCCTCTGCCGACGGGTTCACGGTTATCTTCAGCAAAGCCAGGGACGAGAAGAAAGCCCCGACCAAACCAGGCCACATCACCAACAGGTCGGCGTCGGCTGACAGCAAGGACTCCAGGACCGAGAAGATGACCTCCTACAACTCCAGGACCAACGCATCGGTACGCATCCATCCATCTCGTAGATTTATTTGGCCATTCCCGTTACCATTAATTCCTGTGCTAGCTAGTCACCGATATTCATAATCATGCATGCGTTGTGATCTCTCCAACTTGCAGAAGAAATGGTTCTGCTGTGTCTCGCCCAGTCCCACACAATCTTGAGGAAGCTCATGAGCTGTGCAATGCTGCAGTCTGGTGCTATTCTGTGATGGTTATGTGTAGCTCTGTCGCTGGCAGACTGGCCATGAAATGAGCTCTTCGAATCCAATCCTACTACTTGCCAGTGACAGGGGCACTATGTATAGCCGTTGCAAATGAGAAAATTACTCTGATGGGTGTCTGCTTATAGCATCCTTAGCTGTATCAGTTCAAGTTGATGTCTGCTTGTAATTTTCTTTTTCTCGCCCCTTCTCTATGGTGTAACCCTTCCTCAACGTTATCAGTGAATCTGTTACTCCACAATAATCCTGCTGCATTTTGCTGTAACTTCGGCGAGGATAAATTTGTTTCGGCTCTGACCAAACCAGGTCAACGAATTCTCAGATTGTAGTGACTGAACAAAGTATTGTAGTGACTGAACAAAGTTATGCGCCACCACCCTGACAAACAAAATGCAGCGACGCTTTCAGATCTGTAGAGGAACATGTTATAGCTGTTTAGGTTCTCTTGGAAATACATTATATTAGTACAATTCTTATAACTTTCACCATCGGATTTCAAAAATATATATATCTTCACCAGCTTCACATCTACAAGTTGGTTGGCTGTATACAGAATGGCAATACAATGCAGAGCGAAACTAGACTGACGGAAGCTGGTAATCTGCCACTGTCGTTGCGGAGGAACAGTGCTTCATACACTGGGAAATTGATCGCGACTATTAGCGCACATAGAATAGCCTGCACAAACATAGCTCCCAAACTCATCGCTCCTTTATGCAACAAAACTTTTGCCACCCCGAGCATCATGCATGCCAGGTTAAGCAGTGCGACGGTTGCAATGATCACAAACATTGCGGAGAAGGATCCGAACTCCATCATCCCCTTCTTGTACCTCTCTAGGGCCTGTGAATCAGTCACCTTCGCTGTCAGGGTGAATCCTGACCCAGTGATGCCAAGCATTCTGCGGATTGTGTCGATGGCGGCCAAGAGGTATGAGGTGATTCTTCTGAAAAGCCACATCCTTTGTGCGTTCCACCACTCTACAGCAGTATCGCCACATTGCAGTGACTCCACCAAACTGCAGGAGTATGCAGCCACAACAACGTATGCAAACGGTACAAACCAGGGACTGGTTATCTGGGTTGAGTAGATTGCAGATGCAAGTTCTCTTTTAGAATTTGGCCAAAGTGCATATAGAAAGAAGCAGCGAAATATATATCAACTCACCTCAGGGAACAATGAGATGCCATTGAGGAAGCAAAGTGAAGGGATGGTGACATAGTACAAGGTGGGGAAGCTGTTAAGAGCCCAGAACCCGCAGACGGAGTAACCCATTTGAAGGCCCAGCCTCATCTTCCTGTGACCTAGAAGAAACGGGCTGTACTTTGAGAGGGAGATCTGGAGGAACCCTTCTGTCCATCTCTTGTGCTGAACCAGGATCTGACCTAGTGAGGTCGGGGCCATGCCTAAAAAGCCCTTTCTCGGCGGGTTGTGGTAAACTGATGTCCACCCACGGCACTGGATCTGCAATCCTGTAATAACATCCTCCAGTGGGCAACCATATCTAATTCCCTTCTGTAATTCAGCAACTTGAACTCAGTTAGATATGGTCCCATACATGAAGTGAGAAAATTCTGTGATCTTAAAGTAACAAAGTGGGGCAAAGTGTGACTTCAACCACAGTACCAGGATTTTCAGAATTTTGTATAGAGATCTACCTCGATTCCCCAAAGGGTGTTGTGCTCATATGTGCAAGTCACAAGTGATTCAGCCATCCCATCCAAGTCACTGACATCAGTTTTCCTCACCACCCTAGTCCAATCTTCCTTGTAGTCTCGACTATATATTCGCCCACATAGAGCCTCTCTCCGATGGAAGCATCCTGTGCCATAGTAACACATTCCACCCCATCCATCCAAGCAAGGATGATCTAACTGAAGACCAATTCAATTAAACGAAAAAAAACAGGGTTAGTGGTGTGTTTTCACCTCAAGACATAGGTAAGCCCTGCACTCAAATTCTAAGAGGTGCTATATTAAATTTTTATTGACCTCATTGACGGTGTTGATGGGATTGCCATAGATGTCATTGTGCACCACATTTTCAAAGTTCTGAGGATACTGAACAAAAGCAATATCTTGACCTTGCTCTTCATCTTGGAAGAAACACAATGCATCTCTGATAGACCCTGAATTGTTGGAGTACATATCACAGTCCACATTCATAATGACTGGGCTGTTGCTTATCACTGATGATACCCTTATCTGCACCATCAACCTTAATTAAGGAATTATGTAAACATAAGAAAGATTGATTCAAGTAAGACATTTGGTGAAAATCATGGGCTATAATAAATAGAGGCCAAAATACCCACCAAAGCATTCAGTGATCCAGCCTTGAAGTGATGATGTTCCTGAGGCCTCTTCTCACGAGCCATATAAACCAGTGTGGGCAACACATTTCCATCGACATCAGTTGCTTTTCTTTTGTTTCCATCAATTAAAATCTAGCAATTGAGAACTCTTTGATCAGAAGAAACCACAAAAATGATGAATACAAAAAAAAATTCATAGCAATTCACTAACGAGTGCATATGAACCATGCCAGGCTTGTATTGCTAAGACTAAAATTTGATAGATAATGGAATAAAAATATTATTGGAAGGGTTATCTGCAAAACTTGTTATTTCAGTTGGCTTGGAATATTATTCATACTTGTTAAATATTAGTTTTCTTACATTACTGTTTCAAACATTCCGCAGATGTACTGGACTACTAGTTAAATTTTAAATTGAACCATCAGATCCTTCTCCTAGTAGTATCGCTCTGAGCAGACCACTTATACCATAACCTTCACCTGAACTATTGAAGGGTGATCTCTAAAACTTGTATTCTCGCTCCACTTGGAGAAGCCCCTAAGCTTGTATTTTGAAACATCAGGGATCTTCCCTGAATTAACGACTGAATTCACTCGATCTGCCAAATCTTTGTGCATCTCCTACAGAACAAAAACAGAAAAAGAAAGATAATATGCATAAGCTTGCTGGTTTCAGTATCACAGAACATATATGGAAGGCCACCATAGTGCAAGTTAATGTGGCAGGAAGTAGCAAAATAAAAATTAGGTTAAGATGAGCTATATTACATAGAATGCATTGAAAATGTACACACTACCTTCAAGGAAAACCACTCTTTACGGTCACATGCATCAGGAGGGGTAGCTTCTTTACCAAAGTAGGCAGCTGGTGACCTGGGCTCCACTTGGTACTTCTTGCAAAATGGAAGCCAGTGCTTTGCAAACTCTGATGCCTCATATAGAGCATATAATGTTATGATGGAACCAGCATCATCAGACAAATAGATGTTCAACTTCTCCTGCGGGTAGTCGTAAGCCATAACAGATAGGACTGTGGAGATGACAAGCATTGGCGGCTCAACAGTGGGGTCTGCTGTACACACAAATATGTCCACCCCAGGAAGCTGCTCTTCCTTGTACCTGTTTATAGTCAACGTTTAGCTGAAAATTCAGCATCGGGAAAGATAGAACTTCATAGGTACAAAGCCGCTACTCGTCATGGACAACACTGCCATGGAACAAGCTTGGAATGTGCAGCATTTCAATACCTACAATAGTCTAGGAGGATGCATGTTTAGCTTAATTGCCTCAATAGCCAGTGGCGGATGCACGATGCGGGATAAGAGGGGGGGCTAAAACAATGGAGATGTTGATTTGCATGAAGATTTAATGGTGAAATCAAGCTTTTGCTACAGTGATTAGGCTTGAAATAAGACATTAGGAGGGGCTGGAGCCCCCCCAACCCCCCCTTTGGATCCGCCACTGTCAATAGCAGTCATAACTCTAGCAGGTTAGGCAGGGAGGTAGTGATTGCTTCATGCCCACAGTTCCAAATAAATGTCAAATTCAGTTAGTGAATGCAGAAATTCAGTTAGGGCTTGTTTAGTTCCTCCCCAAAAGTTTACACCCTATCCCATCGAATGTTTGGACACATGCATGGAATATTCCATATAGACTAAAAAAAATAACTAATTGCACAGTTTGCGACTAATTTGCGAGACGAATCTTTTAAGCCTAATTAGTCCATGATTTGACAATATGGTGCTGCAGTAACACATGTGCTAATGATGGGTTACTTAGGCTTAATAAATTCGTCTCGCGGTTTACTAACGGACCCATGCAACACCTTCGTGTGATACCCGACATGACACCTCCAAACTTTATGTCCTAAATTTAAACAAGGCCTTAGTCAGATGACAAACTCAAACACAAACAGCCGCTCCAGGGCCAGTACCTTCGCGAGAGATGGTCCGGGAAGGCGCGGCGGTAGACGGGGCTCCACCGCACGGACAGCGTCAGCACCCAGTAGAAGCCGAACCAGAGCTCCGCCGCGGAGAGCCCAAGCCACGCCCACCACCGGGCGCCGCTGCTCCTCGGCGGCACGTGCGTGGCTCTGTACAGCCATACCAGGAGAACCCCCGCGAGGACCGTGCTCGCGAACAGCCGGTAAGCGTACGTCGCCATCCGCGTCGGTTTCTCCATCACGAACAGCGGTGGGTGGTTGCTCCCGCCGCGGACGCTGATCCCGGCCATCCCGCCTCTGTGGGAATGGAAACACACAAAGTAGCGAGAATCACTGGGGAAGAGTCGGTGGGTTGTGGGCTTGTGGGCTTGTGGGTAGCAGCAGCCTAGCAGGTAGTCGGGTCAACGCAGCTTTGGCGTGCACTACTGCAGCCGCCTCTCCGGTCTCAGCTTTGAATTGGCATCTTGGGAGCAGCCACCTCCAATTTTTTATAATTTGATCTTTTTTTTTAAGAACAATTACGTTTGGCTCTCTGGGAGACGTAAACGCATCTTGGACCCTGGGGGTCGGCGTCAGAACTCGTGGTGCCGAGGTAACATGTCTCGGCTCCACAGATCTTGGCTCCAAGGTGCCTGGCCGAGCACAGCAGGGCAGCCTAGGTGGCATTAACGTGGCCGGTACCTCGGCGCCAGAATACATGGCGCCGACCTCGGCGCCAGAATACATGGCGCCGACCTCAGCGCCACAGATCTTGGCGTCGAGCATGAAATCAAAACCCACGGCCAAGTTTCCCTTGCCGAGGCTGCTTTCATTTCTTCCTCCTATCTTTCGGGTTCTTCCTCTCCCTAACTCGGCCAATCTATTGAATCGACGAATTTGACCTTAGATACTTGGATTTAATCCATACATTTTCACAAGCAAGGTATCATCTCTCCCCTTATCATTTTTACGTATTGATTGGGTATATATTACGTCTATTTTGCAACCCTAAATACGTTATTACCTAATGTTTGAAGTGATTTTTTATTTTTTATATTATGTAACGGTAGGATGTCAAGACGTGGTAAAGCTAGTAAGCCAAGGTAATCTTGTTATATTATGTTTTCATTTATGTGCAACAAATAGAAAAAAACCTAGGTATAGGGTTTAATGTTCATTGCTTTCGGTTCTTAGAACAAATTTGGTTCAATTGTAGTTATGGCTGGATGACCGAAAATGCCTTCGACCCATTGCCTCTGCCTAGTGGTGTTCCAGTGCCCATGTGTTGGTGTGGTGATCCTTGCAAGGTAGCTAAGTCCGATTAAGAAGACACGTATAGACAGAGATATTGGATGTGTGCCAATTTTACGTTTGAGCCTACACTTCGTCAGCACCGCATTACCAAGATGATGAGAAATTGATGTTGTGTACTAATTATTTTATGTCAAATGAAGTCTTGCATGATTTATTTGTTTTTGTAACAATTGCATTTGTTGCAGACCCCTCCACCGCTTTGTGATTTTGAGCAGTGGATCGACACTGAGATCAAGCCGGAAGACAAGGAGTGGATGCAAAAACTGTTACGGTAGGAGGCAGAGGACAAGGAGATGATGAAGAAGAGACGCAGAGAGGAGGCTCTAGAAAAGGAGCACAAGGAAAAAGAGGAAAGGAAGCGTATTGCTTCATACAGGGAGGAGAGGGAGAGGAAGCTTGAGCGTGCGCTCCGAGCGAAGGCAGCGATGGAGAAGAATCCCGATGCTCAGAGAAAGAGAAAGTGGCCTCGTTGCACTCAGTAGTCTTCATGACCTGCTAGTTTTATGGCTTATTCATGAACAATGTTGTCTAATTTTGGACTTTGCTTTGTATTGTCATGTAATGCATTTTAAGTATGGACATACCTAGGGCATGTTCTGCGTTATTTAGTTTATCGTCATGTAGTTCAAATGTTGTTATGTTGATTAATGTGCTTTATTATTGAACCTTTCATAGTGTTGTTGGTTTCATTATTTATTGTCATAATATTGAGTTTAATATTGCATAAGTAGTGAAACTAGCTCACGTAGTGCAAATAAAACGTAACGAAGTAGTGAATTACCTAATTCAACATACACAACATATGAAATGGCATGTGATAACATGTACCAAACTAGGGTACAGAGGTCCTGGACTAAACCTAACATGCCTTAGGTAATTGAAGCAAACAACAAACACATGAAATGACATGTGAGAACATGTGCCAAACAAGGGTACATAGTTCATTCGACCAATCCTAACATGCCTTAGGTGATTAAACCAAAAAAACAAACACATGGATGTGGCCACATAGCAAATTGTGTTGCACCTTCTCCACAATATCCTCCCATTATTGGTAGTGGTGGCGGCGAGGGTGGCGGCAGAGGACCCTTGTTCCTGTGATTAGGGCAGGTGCAGCATGGATCATTGCAGAGTGCCTCCTGTGAACTGTCACCATTGTTATCGTCTTCCTATTCGTCGTCCTTGTAACCGCTACGGTGAGAGGGAGAGACAGAGAGCGTGAGAGAGACATAGAGCGCGAGAGAGGGAGAGATAAAGCGCGAGAGAGAGCTGCGGTGGCCACACGTGGTTATCCGGTACCTCGGCGCCAGAATACATGGCGCGCGCCGAGGTACCGACCACATCAATGCCACCTAGGCTCCCTTGATGTGCTTGGCCAGGCACCTCAGAGCCAAGATCTATGGCGAAGCCAAGATCTGTGACGCCGAGACGTATTACCTCGACGTCATGAGTCCTAATGCCGATTATTAGGGTTCAAAGATTTGTTTACGTCTCAAGAAGCCAAACGTAATTTTTATTAAAAAAAATCAAATTATAAAAAAAATAGGGAGCCACCGCCCACCACTGTACTGTGTGTTCCCAGTTGAGCATGGAAGACGAGACTTTGGCGGTTTGCCCTGCCGTCTCCACTTGGAGTAGATGCTCCGGTCAGACAGAGTTCTAAGAAGAGTCCAAAGAACCAACTCCGGGCCACTGCCATTTGGCCCAGCAGCACATGCTCGATTTTCCCCCCGTTGCTCCGTCGGCTACGACACTAGCCGCCGACGATCCTAACGGAGTACATGACGGCGGAATTCGCCCTCCTTCCGCCCATCGCCGCCGCCGTAGCCTCCAAACTCCCGCCATGCCAGTCTCCAGACGGGGTGTGAGTCTGAGGCGAACGTGAAATGATCCTGCGGCCTTCTCTTCTGGCCGTCGCCCGCCCTCTCACCACCGTGGCCGTCGCGGCGGCCGTCCGCCGCGGGAACCTCGCCGGCGCCGAGGAGGCCTTCGCGTCGACGCAGCACAAGACCACGACCACCTACAACTGCCTCCTCGCGGGATACGCGAAGGCGCCCGGTCTCGGCCGCCTCGCGGACGCGCGCCGCTGGTTCGACAGTATCCCGCACCCGGACGCCGTCTCCTACAACACGCTCCTGTCCTGCCACTTCGCCTGCGGCGACATTGATGGCGCGTGGAGAGTCTTATCCACGATGCCCGTCAGGGACGTCACGTCCTGGAACACCATGGTCTCCGGGCTCTCCAAGAACGGGGCCATCGAGGACGCCGAGGCCATGTTCCGGGCCATGCCGGTGAGGAATGCTGTTTCCTGGAATGCAATGGTTGCCGCTCTTGCGAGCTCTGGAGACATGGGCGCGGCGGAGGACTTGTTTAGGAATGCGCCGGAGAAGACGGATGCCATTCTCTGGACTGCAATGGTGTCAGGGTACATGGACACCGGCAATGTCCAGAAGGCCATGGAATTCTTCAGGGCAATGCCTGTGAGGAACTTGGTTTCATGGAATGCCGTTGTCGCTGGTTATGTCAAAAATTCACGCGCAGGCGATGCTTTGAGGGTGTTCAAGACCATGGTTGAGGATGCTATTGTGCAGCCAAATCCGTCAACGTTAAGTAGTGTGCTTCTTGGATGCAGTAACCTGTCTGCACTTGGATTTGGGAGGCAAGTACATCAGTGGTGCATGAAGTTGCCTCTTAGTAGGAGCGTGACTGTGGGCACATCTCTTCTCAGCATGTACTGCAAATGCGGCGATTTGAATGACGCTTGCATGCTGTTTGATGAGATGCGTACAAAGGATATAGTTGCATGGAATGCCATGATTTCTGGCTATGCCCAACATGGGGGTGGAAGGAAAGCTATCAAGTTATTTGAAAAAATGAAGGATGAAGGAGTGGTGCCAGACTGGATTACTTTGTTGGCAGTATTGACAGCTTGTGTCCACACCGGATTGTGTGATTTTGGAATCCAGTGCTTTGAAACAATGCAGGAAGCATATAACATTGAACCCCAGATTGATCACTACTCATGTATGGTTGATCTTCTCTGCCGAGCTGGTCTGCTTGAAAGAGCTGTCAACATGATCCATTCAATGCCCTTTGAGCCACATCCTTCTGCCTATGGTACCTTGCTGACTGCTTGTAGAGTTTATAAGAACTTGGAGTTTGCCGAGTTTGCTGCTAGAAAGCTGATTGTACAGGATCCACAGAATGCAGGCGCCTATGTACAGCTGGCAAATATTTATGCTGTGGCAAATAGGTGGGCTGATGTCTCTAGAGTAAGGAGATGGATGAAGGATAATGCGGTAGTGAAAACACCTGGGTATAGCTGGATGGAGATAAAGGGTGTGAGACATGAGTTCAGATCTAATGACAGATTGCATCCTCAGCTTGATTTGATTCATGACAAGTGGGACCGCTTGGAGGAGCTGATGAAGGCGATGGGCTACTCTCCTGATCTTGGTTTTGCACTCCATGATGTTGAGGAGAGTCTGAAGTCACAAATGCTGATGAGGCACAGCGAAAAGCTTGCCATCGCTTTCGGTCTGATTAGCACTTCCCCTGGGATGACCTTGAGGATCTTCAAGAACCTCAGGATCTGTGGAGATTGTCATAATGCAGCCAAGCTTATATCCAAAATCGAGGATCGAGAAATAATACTCAGGGATACCACACGGTTCCACCATTTTAGAGGTGGGCATTGCTCATGTGGGGATTACTGGTGAAGGAAAGAATCTCGACAACAGTTTCAGACACACTGGCAGTGTAGGACTTGCAACACTATCTAAATTGGAGTTTATGTATGAAATATGAACTTATGGACTTGGTTCGTCATGTATGACTTGAGTCATTCAAAGCCAGATCAACCCTGATAGCCTCTGGCTAGGAAAATATGGCTGTTTTATAGTTTGTTCCTGCTTGGTTTTTCAAATTGTTTTCTTTTATGTACCTTCCAGTCTGTGTCTTGGTATGAAAGACCACACTGGTTACCTGGTGATTCTTT